CCACTCATTTAATATCCAGATTTCCAGACGAAGTTTCACATGTTTCAGAAAAAATATCAAATTGATAAGAAACATTTTAACACTTTAACGGTTTAAAACGCGATATATTAGTTAAACTTATTTTCGAAGTTAAAAATCATCTTCAAATAAGTTTAACTAATAAATCGCGTTTTAAACCGTTAGTGCTTTATTTAAATGTGTACTACTCGCGTAAACTATAGACAGTATTTGATTAGAAACATATTGGTCCCGGTGGAGACCGAATTCATGACCCAATGCTTTTTAGTTATACATCGCTACCACTACTCCAACTAGCCAGTCAAAAACGATTATATTCTTGCTGTAGGAACTGAAGAAAGAAGTTACTTTCCATTCAATTTTAAAATATTTACTCCAATAGAATCAGTAGTCTAATGCGATTATAGATTTATTTTTAATATAAAAGTAGACTTTACTCGACTCGACCTTTTGCTCATTAACTTTATAAATATCAGCTCCTTTCTTTTTAAATATCAATAACAGAATAGAAGCAAAAATAATGCCACTGTTTGCCATATATACTTACTTACTTACTAATATTATAAATGCGAAAGTAACTCTGTCTGTCTGACTGTCCGGCTTTAATTCCGAAACTACTGAACTCATTTAAATGAAATTTGGTACACAGATATTTTAGACCCTCAAAAGGGGTTAAAAAAAAGGTTAATAGGGGTTGAAAAAGGGGATGAATGTTTGTATGGAAATTCGTGGTTTGAAGCTAGAACAATGAAACTTTCTTCTTTGGCTTTTTGGGAATAGGGGTGGGAGTGGGAGTGAGTGTAGGAATGAGAGTGGGAGTTAGAGTAAGCGTGATGTGAGGTGAGTGTTGCGGCAAAGTAGCACTTACAACAGAGATTGGCTGCCTTAAATGCGCCCTTACATAAATTAATAAACAGCCTAAATAATTAAAAATTCTACCCCAAGTCACTATTCCATGCGCACGAAGTCGCGGGCACCGCTAGTCGTTAATAAATACTAAAGATAATTGAAATCAAAGGAATATTCAGACAATTATATTGACAATGTCTGATTAATAATCAATGGGACATAGATTCGAATCATACCAACTCCAACATGTGTCTAACGTATTTATAATTTTTCTGGAACATCAACTTCAACTGGAAATCTGAATATTACATGGGTAGGAATGTGTAACTCCGGCCGGGTCACGTACCACCGTGCACAGATAAATCACCGTGAAATTTAATCGCGTTTCGGTTTCGTAGATTTCCGAATGTCCAAACCCAAAATAGGTCAGCAGCTAAGGGCTTATAAATTAGACTGGCCCCTGATTAGCCGAATGTTATAAATTAAGGCTTAATGAAATAATTAGCACGGTTAATGTTGACTCTGGAATAATTTGAAGACGCCTACACGGTCAAAGTTAATTAATTACTATGTTTACGGATATTAACTAAGTATAGGGTGTATCAACACGTCACGATTCTTCTTTGAAAAGGGCCCTTGTATTTTTGGGATTTCGGACATTATAGTACCCAGGTTTAAGGTTTATTTTTCTGTGGCATTTAACATATGTATATCTTGAGGTGTTTCAGGGAGTCCGAGTATTTTTGGTTTGGGCGTTATTCATATCTGGTTTAAAATGTATTTTCCTCTGCCATATGATATATGTACATTGTACCTATCTGAAGTTATTTAATTCTAGTTGAAAAGGGCGGTTGTTATATATCCTTTAGCACTCTATGCATCTATAAATAGAAGTTAATGTTATCTGGTGTTGAATAAAAATAATTAGGTATCAAGCATTTGTAGACAGATAACACTGGCGGGGCTCACAGCGGTAGTATTATTTATCTGACATTTTGTTATTGAATTAAACAACTCTATTGCATAACGCAAATAGAGTTCTAACAAAAAAACTAATTTTAAAATTAAGATTCTAGAGTGCGTAACTATTAAGCGAGAAAAAAGAATTATATAAATTAGGGTAATGTGATGTAGTGTAAAGCTAAAAGTATAAATAAATTGTACAAAAAAACATTGCATCACGTTTAGATTTAAAAAAGAAGACGTTGAATTTTGTTTGTAATTTATGTAAATAGTACACATTACAATAAAATAAATTTTAACAGTATAAAACGCGAAATGTGTTACTTGACTTACTTATGCTGCAAAGCTGCGGTAACGCACGGGCTATAATTAAAATAAATGGTATGTAAGTTAAATAATACATATCGTATTTTAAACTGACTCAAGTATTTTAAAATACCATTGTGTTGTAGAAAAGATAACATTTAAAGCTGAGAGTACGTTTACTTGATAAAAATATTTCAATGGAAAGTCAGTGTAAGTTATTTTTTCTGTAACATATTCCACAGGAAAAATCACTGTCTATTATTTTCTACCTATGCAGAACAAACAAGGTGTGGCAACGGTTTCCGAGTCTGACGTCACGCGCTGATCCTTACGCTCCGATGCATCTCAAAAGAGAATATCAAATAAGGCATGACCCTTCTAAGCCTGCTTTCTCAGTCTACTGCTATAAGCGAAGGCTCAGAAAATTTCTTTTACTTATTTATAATCTAAAAATTATTACAGAGTTTTTACTGTTCACAAAATTACTGGCCACTTTATACTTTTAATTAGTGTTATATTTTAGCGTGGCAAAAAAACTAATAAAAAGTATAAAGTGGCCAGTAATTTTGTGAACAGTAAAAACTCTTTAATAATTTTTAGATAAAACCAAATAAACAATTTATTAGACTGGCATTAAATCGCGTATTATTTCGTTATTTTGAGAGAGAGATTCTCCTAGATCATTAACAACTTTCTTCTTTTTTATTTTAATCCGTTAAAACATGAATTTTCGGAATTCATTTTAAACTACGCGCCGTTTAATTTTTTTTTTAATTTTTGAAATAGTCTTTTAATCCCGTATAAAGTTTAGTTATAGTACTTTATCACATTGCACAATATCTTATAGCCCTCTTTTACTGAATTGCATAATTAAATATATTGTTTTTATAGTTACTAATAATATATATATAAATAGTAATACTAATAAGCCGTAATAACATTTATTTTCCGACCGCGTCTAACTTAAGAGTTTAATTACCCACAGACAATATACATAAATTTCAAGTTTCATAAAGCTTTACTTAGATATCTTACATTTAACGTACTAAACTTTGTAAATAACATACAACCTAGTCTGTATGATTTGTTTTTTAGAAATTCGTTTTACTTTTAAATCTGTGACACTAACCGGCTTACCATACACGCTAAGGTATATCTGTCGCTGGTGTAGACAAACCTACACATGTTAAATTATCGGGCTGAAATATTGAAAACTAAATTTTATAAACCAAAAAAATGATAATAAAATATCATTTGAACGATCGCGTCATAATGGATTGTAAAATTGCATAAAAAATACAACTTATCCCGTCCGTATCGTCAAATTATTTAAAACTTAAAACAATACCGTTTCAAAATATAAGTAGATGGCCAAGAACTGGACAAAGTGTATGTACATACTAGGGTTCGTACACGGAATTACTTCTAATGAATTTAATTAACTAATTTCTTCAGGTCAACCATGAATCGTATAAAATGGTAAAACTATAGACAAAATATCGATGCATACAAACTAAGCCCATATTCATTCTTGTATTTTTATATAATGTAAACTCTTATATGTGTTGGATTATAATGTATAATATACTATCTTATTGTTCTTTATCCCATAGATGAAAATTTTGTATGCTACATTTTCTCTAATTTATATTTTTAAAATACCAATACCCAAAACCTACATTTCCCAAATGATTCAACGCCCAAGTCGTTTATTCAAACATTATCCCTAAAAGGTTATGCCAAATGTGTATGAAGAACCAATCAAAGGCACATGTTTCAGTTGATAAGAAAGGAATTTTACGCCGGGATCTTACGATGAATAAAACCTTCTTAAAGGGCACTGAGAAAAAAATAAAAGCGGCCTTTTACGTCGTTATAATAACGGCTACCAAGTCGGCCAGTAAATTTCGATAGGTTCCCAACGTACTCACCCTATTCCGTATATCTTTCTACTCATTAAAATAAAACCAAAACCAGTAATTTTTTCAGTACTAGAATTAATTCTAAGAATTTTTTCTACTTTTAGTAAGTACATAGTTTAAATAAAACACTTTAACGGTTTAAAACGCGATATATTAGTTAACTTATTTGAAAATGATTTTTAACTTCGGCCCGACGTTTCGGATGCTTTGCAGCAGCCGTGGTCACGGGGAGACTAAAGATGGAGGATGTCTCTGACGTCAAAGTAAAAAATTGCTACGCTAGCGCCATCTGTTCCGTCGAAGTTGGTATTTGGCGAAACTGGCCGGGTCCTTACAGAATTGACTAACGGTGTCTTCGCGTTTGCTGGTATGCTGTTTATTGGGATCCAGAGTTTTTAATGTGGGATCCCAGGTGTTTGATAGTTTGAGGCCGTCCGTTAAAGTGTTTTATTTAAATGTGTACTACTCGCGTAAACTATAGACAGTATTTAAGTACATAGTTACTAGAAGTAGAAAGTGGTATTAACCTAATGTCTCAATTTTAGGCGGTCGTTTCCAAGTAACATCGCCAATGTCTACTAACTACTACTACCAAAGCGTAGACCCTAATGAAACGACGATAATGCTGAACCAAGTACAATCGTGTAGAAAATTATTTCAGTATTATATCGCTCTAATTGAAATTCAGGGCACGCTATAAGCATTACATGTATTAGGTACATTCATATCGAGAAGTCAAACATACCCAGCAATTTGCTCAAGTTATCTAAAGAAAACATAACCAATGACTTTCTTTGCAGGTCGCGGACGAGTCGGGAGACAATTATAAAAGTGCGAGTTCCTTGCACGATACACAAATACTCTTATAGACTGCCGATGTTTGCTCTGGGAGCCTTATCACTTGATAAGTTAAAACACAAGCCGCGTGTAAACAACCTTATCATGGTAACGTTCTTACTGAAGACGCGAAAGTACCCAGAATCTATACGCCGCGGCGAGGTATACACATAGACGCGTCACCCCAAAACCGGTATGGAAGTTGGGGTCCGCATTAATGACGGATAGTGATAAGTGAAACCAAAGAAACCTCGTGTGATTTCTAGTCGTAAGTAGCGGGAGTGCGTCAAGCTGGAGGACCTACAGACTCTCGAGAGCGCTGAGGGCGTCGGCGACGACATCGGCGAAGAATGCCTGGAGAAGAACTTTAATTTGTCTATGAACTTTTGCCCGGCGTACTTCGATGGGCTGTTGTGCTGGGATCCCACTCCGTGGAACACGCTGGCCGTGCAGAAGTGCTTCAGGGAGTTCCACGGCGTTCAATATGACGATACTCGTAAGTTAATTTAAAAATTCTCTAAAGATTTATAACAGATATAAACGATTTAAAAGCAATTTGATTCGCATCTTAGATGCTTTACAGCAATCGGAACGTTTAACTACGAAATATTAATATTAGTAAATTGATTTTATAAGATTCTCGATTTAAACCGTTTAAAAGTTTTTTGTTTGATTTTTTTATATTGTTATCGAATTAGACCAGTTTCGGGTTATACTATCTTCATTTAATAAAGTTAAAAAGCGAAAATGTTGCTAAAAATAATAACAAAATTATAGACATAAAGTGGAACGAAACCAGTAAATGTCAGTTCTGTGCAAATTTAGTAGGTAATATTGAATAGATAAATGTTTGAAAACTGTAATATGTTTTACATGATGTAATTATATAAATTAAAAATCTATTTAGATTTAAAAAAATGCACGGTAGTTGAATTCGTTACAGCAGCAGCACGGAACGCTGTGGATGTCAAAAAGTCAAAAATCAAAGTCAATCTGGTTCAAGTCTCGGCCGTGTTGGAATTTTTTTCAATCACCTCTTTTGAACATGATAAATCACGTAATAAATTTAGTAAATATAATACAATAGACTAACGCTTTTCAAAAACGGGAAGAATTTTGTGTTAAGCTTGTTTACACATCTTGCGTCACTTCTAATCCTAATCTTATATCGATCTACACGGAGGTCAAATTTTCTAGATAAAAATCTAACACGTAATTTAAATTTCCTGTACATTTTCTAAGGCAATGAACTGAACTTCAGTAAATACAATTCTACTTATAGTATTGTTTACTTTCCTTAGATAAACAGTCAATTTAAATATTTTTACATTAGAGCGTGAATAAATTGAAAAAGTATTTTAGACCGAAGACATAATGATACTGTGCATAGTATTCTACTGGTTGTAGGTTCACGTCTCGCGTGTATCATTGATTTAGAAGAACAACTTCAAGGAAGTTAAATTTATTTACATAAAACACTCATAACGGCTGCCAACAAAATTGTTAACCATAATTATCACAGAATATTTGTATTAAAAAAAAACATTTTCCAAAGATTATTTAAATATAAAACTTTTAACCGTCTAAAATGGGAAATATATATTTTACCTTTAAATTAATTTTGAGTCGCGGCTGCCAAGCAAAACACCCGAACATTTCACTTTTTAAACCGTTTAAATTGATTTTTTTTTTAATGTGTACTCGTGTCAACTACAGACAATAGTTAGATAAAATTTAGCTATCGTTTTTACATGCTTGAAGTTAACAAATGTGTCAGAATGTAAACAGTCAGGACCCGAACGCACGACCACCAATATAAGATGCTGTTGCTATTAAACTGAGCAGCTTCTTCGCTTATCCACCTATCAGACAATTAGTCAGGGTTCAGGTGTGATAGTAAGTCTACTTCTATCATAAAACAATAATATTTTCCTCAAATTAGCGGTCATTATTATTTTACTTCCAACGTAAAAAAGCTCTTCCCGCGCATTTCCACAAACAATAACACGCACATTTAATCCGTCATCAGGGCCGCCATTACGGGAAAACTTTGTTTTTTTCCCACTAATTTCTGTTTACTTCTACGAAAATCTTTTAACTTCCAACGACATTGATTATTTTACGAAAGTCACCGCAATCAAACCACTTTTGTTTACCCGCGGAAACCTCTGTCCGAAATACGTTTTGTTTCAAATCTTTAAGTTTATAAAGCTAGAAGGCCCTCGAGAAATTCAAATAGGTGCGATTGTGAATTTAATTAGCCGGTTAAGAGCCGTTTTGTTGCTAATTTATACAATTGTTTCGTGTTCCCATTTGTGTAATTATTATGCATGTATTCATTTGCCTTAGAAATAACAGTATATTAAACGAAACAAAGAACATGTGTTATTTTCTTATATATCACTAGCTGTGACGACTTCTTCCACGAATAACAGTCATTTTGGGCATAAAAATTTGTTTTGCAAACCTTATCTTTAAAAATTTTTGGCTGTCACTCACGACGTCGTCCGCTTCCCGTCGTTCCTGTGAGTTAATCTTAAAGGATAGACATATACTGTCGCAGACATTTTTAAAAATCTTGTATTGTCATATATGTCTTGGATTTCTTGAGCCATTTCGCAGCACATGCAACGGACCCTTAATAATGAATAATTTTCCCCGTTTTTCCACTGATTCTTCTCTAATTGTTTAAAATAAACCCTTTAACGGTTTTAAACGCGAAATATATTATCGTACCGTTGTTTTTCGGGCTATTCGGCCGATGAAAGCCTTACACAATTTACGAAATAAATTAGTTAAACTTGTTCACTAATTATTTTGTGTTTTATTTAAACGTGTACTACAGACAGTATTTAAAATGACGTTAACCTAAAAGAACTAGGAAGGAAAGTAAATTTTCATTCTTCAACTTTAATATTTTTCACGTTCACATAAATCCTCGACTGTAAGTCCTGCCAGAGTCGTATTTTTTTTCAATAATCGATTGTTTCTTCGCATGTATGGATCGCAGCGTAATGGCTACAGTTTAGATAAATTCTAAAACACACAGAAATAACTCCTCAATTCGAACCAGTAAGTCCTGAGTTTAGCGCGTTCAAACAAACAAACTCTTCAACGTTATATTAGTATAATTTTTTACGAAATAAATGTACTGTGTTATAGGAACATATGATGAACATAAGATGAACAGTTACAACTTATCTATATTATTTGTTCAGAGTTACAGAGTATTTTACTGTCTTTCTTTTATCTTGACAAAAATAAGCGAAATTGTAGCAAAGTTTGCTTTGTCTTTGAGCTTTAAATATTATGATTACGTATTGTTTCAGTGCCTAACAAAATGGAGATATTGGTTCATTTTTCAAGACGTATATATTTCCCTTTTAATATTGTCTGTAGTTTACGCGAGTAGTACACATTTAAATAAAACACTTTAACGGTTTAAAACGCGATAATATATATACTTAACATATATAGATTTTATCTATATATTAATATATATAGATAACGCGTTTTAAGCCATTAAAGTGTTTTATTTAAATGGTAGGTTATCCTACTTTCAAATTATATTGACTACGTAGTCGTAGTAGATATATGCAACGTAACTGATATATTTCTAATTAAAAGTGATTCATTAAACAATGGTTAAATTATTATATCTAGAAGTGGTTAGGTAAAATAAACCAATACTAAAATAGTATTTATTTGTTGAATACCATTTATACATGGACATATATAAAACAAGTATATCAAATAATTACAAAATATAAACAAACAAGAATGTAATGGGCGGCGTTATTACTGACAAGCAATCACTCCAGACGATGTAATATGAAAAAAAAAATGTTAGAAATAAAGGCCTTGCAAAAAAAACACACACACAGCCAACACGATAAAAAATATATATTGCATTGACTGTGGTAATATTATAATTTTCTGATCTAGTTGATTCTTTGCAACCAGCCAGTAGATTTTAAAAATTAATCTATTATCTATGGCTTCGCTTTGTGGTTAAAAAATATTACATTATAGTCTGTACGATTTTATTTTCCTAGGCATAGTATAAGATATACCTCCATTGAGCATCTTGTATAAGAGTTCTACCTTATCTCCTATACAATTGCGTCATTATGACGCTTTGAACACGTTTAGCGTAAGAGCTTGCGATCTGTTATAATATTGTGTAATTATTCCAAATATTCAAAGTCAAAATAGGTCGATATCGCATCTTGTGTAGATGTTATATGGCTGGGTATTTCATTAAAAACAAAATCAACTACCATACCCAATATTTTGACAATGTTGTATTTGATTATAACTATATATTAAATTTAACAAGAAAGATATTTTGTAAACATAGTCTGTAGTTTACGCAAGTAATACACATTTTAATTAAACATCATATATAATATATATTTGACGTTTCGTACGCTTTACAACACCTGAAACCGAAATCACGTACCACGAGTTCAAATCAAAGGAGTCTATTAAAATAAAGCTTTAATATAAAGGTATATTTCGCACATTAAACTTAAAGTGATTTATTTTAGACATTTTATCATTAAATTTACTTAAAACTTAGAGGATTCAATTTTATTTATTTATTTTATATATATTTATTAAATTTATAAACTCCTGACTTACCCTTTGATTGATATGAATTGACAATAAAAAATAAGACTTTCACTTTATATACTAAAAAGGGGGCATTAAAAAGATGGTATAGGGTGACTTTTGTACTCTATAAATAAATTTAATACAATTTGCGACATTTATTAGATTGCCCCTAATGAAACGTGAAAAAAAGTCATAAATTACATTAATAACCAATTTGAAAAAACTAAATATAAATAAATAATCACAATAAAACAATAAAAGTTATTTTTGGAGTAAAGAATTAAAAAAAACACTGTTTAAAATGCAAAATATCTTAGTTACAAACTTAACTTATTTACAAATTATTTAGTATTTTTTTACGTATTTAGATGCGTACATCTCGCGTACACTACAGACAGTATTTAAAAACCAGTCACAACTGGTTAACATGAAAAAATTAAGAAGAAAAGTAAAAAAAAACATACTTTTCAGGTCATACATTTTACCGACGTCATTAATTGTTTACACATGTTAGCACTGCGAGTATATAAATTAAACATCGATTATAAGTTTTCAATCATAAGTACTGCTCGATTCGTGAGATTTTTTCAATTTATATTTAATTTTTAACAAACCTCATTTATCAGATAACTAGCACTCAAGCTCCTAGACTATTAATCCCTGTCTTTTCACAGAGAATGCTTCACGATTGTGCTTGGAAGGTGAATGGCATAATTACTCTAACTACGCGAATTGCACCGAGCGGATCGCGAACGTGTCGCCAACAGATGTCGCTAGTCTGATATACCTCACTGGATACTCGATCAGTCTTGCGGTACTCATCTTGGCGGTTTTTGTCTTCTTATACTTCAAGTAAGTTTTGTAAGCCTTTAGGCAACTACTAAATGTTTTTTTCTATCTGGTCAGCGAACACTAGCCAGTAATTTTATTTACTTTCATTACTACCACAGTAATACCACAAATATTTGAATAAAATATTTTTGACGGGTTTTAACGGTTTTTAATATATAAGTTAAACTTACTGACTATTGCTGCTGCATCCGAAACATCGGGTCGTAATTCATATTGTCAAATAAGTTTAACTAATATATTTTACATTTTAAACCGTTAAACTACAAACAATGCCTGGACTTAGTACCTACTATTTACATATTTAGCTAATGGTATATATTTTTTAAGATTATGCGAAATTTTATACTTAATTTATTTTAACTATAATCAGATTTTTCGGATATTTACAGTAGTTACCTTTTTTATAAGCGTTTTATTTAATAGATTGGCCATTATCCAAACAAATAAAGGAGCCGCGGGTGACAGCTTGTCATTTCTGAAACTACATTATAAAATCTGTTTCCTTTACATTATAAAATTAAATGAAAATACGCTTCAGTAATAAGAAAACCTTCTAACTAAATTTACGCGTATATTTCCCAAATTTAAAGCAAAAGTCTGTCTAAAGTTTACGCGAGGCTTGATAATACAGTTTAACGTTTAAAACGGATAATTTTTAAAATGATTTTTATTACTTATTTGAAAATGATTTTTAACTTCAGCCCGACGTTTCGTATGCTTTGTAGCAGCCGTGGTCACGATGAAGGATGTCAGATGTCTCCCCGTGACCGTGTTGAAAATCATTTTCAAATAAATTTAACTAATATATCGCGTTTTAATCCGTTAAAGTGTTTTGTTTAAAATCAATAAAGTCATCAGCACATTTTCATGCAATGTTATTAGGCTGGAGTAGTTCACGCTCTATTATGTATACCCCACGATTGTCTCTTCTCTTCTATCATAAAAAAGATATATGACAATGTTAGCTTATGGCACGTAAACACAGATATAATTTACGATATAAATATCATAAAGAAATCACGCAATTAAACAGAAACTAAAGATAAGATTTAGCATCGCTCATTTTATTCGTATTTTCAATCCTCGTTAACTTGTGAAAACATAATTTATGTGTTTCAAATCATCTTCGATAATACATAATATTTATATATATTATAGAAAAATATAGTAATAAATTGTATTGTAATATCATTGTTTTTCGGGCTGTTCGGCCGACGTGAGCGAGAAGCGGTTTTCGACGTTTTACTATCACGAGGGGCCGACATCATCAGGAGAGGTTAGCTCCTTGATTGAACAGCCCGAAAAGCAATTATATGCAATAATGTAACTGCTGTAGCTGTGACAGCGACGTCGTCCGCAAGAAAGAAGTTTGAGCATCCAAATTCGTTGATGCAGGGGCGTCTTTGTAGACTCCAGCTGTTACCCACAACATCAGTCGCGTCCCTTCCCGTCGTTCTTGCTAGTTAATCTTAAAAGATACAAAATATATACTGTCGCAGACATCTTTTTAGATCATTTAAAGAGATTAATTCCTTCGTACATATTTTTCGCAACATACGCCTCGGAAATGGTGACTAATTTTCCCCGTTTCTTCCACACTTCCCGCTGTTCCATCGATCCTATTTGTATTAGCCTTCCTTGATAAACGTCTAACCAACACAAAAATATTTCTTTAATTCGAACCCGTAGTTCCTGTGATTAGCGCGTTCAAATATACAAACAAACTCTCCAGCTTTATATGTTATTATAGATTACATAAATTACCTTTACTTAAAATAAATCGCTCGAAATTAACCAATGAAGTTTCACACGAATTACATACGTAGTTTATCTTCTTCTGCCGTTATTTCCTAGCGCAATTATGAATCATCAGTTTTTATTAGTGTACACAAGTGACACTAGGTCAAAAGAACTAAGAAAGATAAGCTACGTTCCCATACACACAAACTATAGAACAATTTTTAATGAAATGTCACAACAAAGTATAAATTATTATCAAAAAACTAGTAGTTTACGCGAGTAGTACACATTTAAATAAACGTGAAAAGTCTACTGATATATTTCTGCGTTTCACACTAAATAAAAAAGAAGTGTTATCAGCAAACAGTACTATCTCATGAAGCTCGTTAACAAAGGATGGTAAATCATTAATGTAGACTAGAATGGTCCAAGTATAGACCCCTGGGGTACGCCCGTTGAAACGGTTGATATTGTTGAGACAGATTCATTTACATACACTTTTTGAATTCTACCACCTAAGTAAGACTCCATCATTTTGAACGCTTTTCGATCCACTCCATAATGCTGAAGCTTTTTGACTAGAGTATTATGATGGACAGAATAAAAGGCCTCTCAAATGATTACATAAAATCTATTACTGAGAGAGTAGGGTAATTTCTTTTTGAACTAATTAATCTACTTACTGTCTATATTCAGCATAATTGAACAAAGTCTTTTATATTCAATGGCGTTCCTTCAAACTGATTTTCTCAGTTTAATGTTTTCCATTTTTTTCAGGGACCTCAGATGTCTAAGAAACACAATACACACAAACCTAATGACTACGTACATATTGTCCGCCTGCAGCTGGATGTTAAACTTAGCTTTACAAGTAAGTAAATAATAACAATAAATTTAAAGTACACAATTATTCATGAAGGTAACTGGGAACACTTATGAACGTCAAATCAGTTAAAAGTCAAAAACTGTAAAATTGCATTTAATACCAGTTCTCGAATAAAGGGAGTAGAACGAACAAGAAGAAATGGCAAGCAACTCGCCGCCACTCCTTTTTCATCATACATCCCTTCGTATATAGTGAACAAAAGAAAATGTCTAAATTTAATTTAAAGAAGTAAGTTTACCAAAGGTATAGGTAAAGGTCTCATGCAAAATAAGGTTAATAAAATGCACAATACGATCTTACCATGCCCATGTACCATTTAAAAAACCTTTCACCGCCCATGTGAAACTATAACACAATGAGAAATTTTAAACATAATTTTATAGTATTATTTACAAAAAAAAAACTTAAACCAGGTTTAAACCAAAACTTTTGAGTCTTGGTTTAACTCTTAAACCACGGTCTAGATAAATCCAAGTTGGTACCACAGTTAGTCCAATACAAACTTTGAACTTCGTTTTGTAATAAGGAAAGGTTTGAAATATTTCACTCAGTTTTAAAAATAAATTGACTTTTTCATTCAAGTCAAGAGTTGAAGGATACGTTTTTCTACGTTTGTAAATTTTCTCAAAGGCATAAATCTTTAAGAATAGAAATTGTCCGTTGAAATACAATTTCTCGTCTTACACGGTAGGTATGTGAAAAGGAAACCTACGCTCTAACTTCCTACGAAAATATCCGCTTAGGGAAATAATGAGACGAGATTTATATATACTTTATTTATTATTGCCAGCGACTTCAGACAGGAAAATTTAACTTTCCATGCAGATTAGATCACGGGGAAATTACTTAATTTCCTACGAACGTTTTTTCAACCCGACCAAGGGTAGGAACCACTAATTTTAATCACACATAATATATTATTCACATGTGTTTATCTGTAACAATGTAAATAATCACATTTGTTTGAAACCTTTACAAAATTTCACATTTTTGTATATCATGGCATTATATAAAAAATGTTGTAAAAAGAATTATATCAGTTAAATAGAACATTCATTTTACAATATTTAAGTAGTACATTTACAAAAAAAAATTGACAATAGACAAGTTTTTTTTTTTATATTTTATAGCCTGGTAACGGGACGTTTAAGACAAGTAACAATTGACAATAGACAAGGAAATGGCACCAACGTGCGAAATGTGAATTGCAATTAGAAATTTAATACGTTTTCAAATGTACACATTTTATAGCTTGTAAAAGCGTCCAGACAACGTAAAATCTCTCAAAATACTATTATCATTTTCTGAACTAATTCACCGTTACTGAACCAGCAAATTCACTCGCCCAGGATTTCCCCTATTTCCGCTGGGAATATATTATTTTTGTGAGATAAAAGGCAACGTCAACACTTATTTGAATAAGGACTAGAAAATACTCATTTTGTAAATTATAATTCTTGTTTGTTATTTTAAGTAACCCTCAAACAAATATAATACATGCTGTATGCATAAAAATGGATTTAAAAATTATATAGATAATCGAAAACTTCATTGCTCGGGCCTGCTGAAGACAGCGAAGGAAGAGCATGCTATTTTGGCAGGGTCTATTGGTAGTGTAAGGCTAATAGTCAACGGGTCGATCGATCCCCACCGGGTCTAACGTGTTCCTAAGCAATTTACAACTTTTGTGCCGTTAGCAAACCACCGTCCACAGATGAAACTGTAGCCGTGAAGTTTAATCGCCTTTCAGTCTGTGGATTTCCGGATATCCAAAGAAAAAATACATCGACAATGCATCTTGTTGGTGATATGGCTGGGGTATTTCTCCCACTATCGAGCAAACCCCATGCTTGCCTGTCCTCCTCTAATATCAAGAAATCTAGTACCAACTGTCCTTTAAAGTACTTATATACGATATACTCTTGTTTCAGAATTGGTCGGATGAGGCGCAATCAGATCAAACTTCTTGCATGATATTGGTGATTTGCATGCATTATTTCTACCTCACGAATTTCTTTTGGATGCTGGTTGAAGGTCAGTATTCATTCATATGCCATTACCTTTCATGGATGGCCATCAACATCGCTCAAAGCATTGAAAAATGTTCATATGACTTGTTAAATTAAAAAAATCGTAATTAGTAGCTACTAAAGTTTTATTTTTACTAGCTTTTATAATTAGGTAAGCACTAATAAGAATCATAGAAAGGGGAGAATGGGGGTGAAGTGAACAGTTGATTATGTAGACTGATCACGGTTCTTCTATAGAAAATAATACATAATTGTGTTAGAAAGCAATAATCAACGGGCCTCGGGTTCGATCCCCACCAAGTCCAACATTTGACTAATCCGTTTACAATTTTTCTAAAACATCTACTTTGTCTGGAAATCTGGATATTAAATATCGGACTACCGTACGGGCCACGAACCACCGTCCACAGATGAAAAACCCGTGAAGTTTAATCGCGTTTCGGTTTCAGTCTGTTGATTTCCGAATGTCCAAAGCCAAAATAGGTCTGTACCATAAACCCTTGCTTGTCTGTCCTCGATTATTACAAAAGTCATTTATAAATTACGACGGCTGAATCGAAAACTGAACTAACTTTCCAATTTCGGCAACTTTTCAATTTTCCTTATCAAATTAGTATTCAAAAAGGAATACAAAATAAACCGTGAATAAAACAAAAGGTATTTTCCCGCTCAAACGAAACTACAAATCTGTCAGGCCTAACAAGCTGTTGATGTGTAAATTTGTTAAAATATTCGCAACCTTTGCTTTCAGGTCTTTACCTCTATATGCTGGTCGTCGAAACGTTTAAGGCCGAGAATATCAAACTGAAAGTTTACACGACCATCGGTTGGGGTAAGTACTGTTTTCATTAAGGCAATATTCTCCAAGAAATACCAACAGTTATTAAAATAAAGCATTGTATGGCTAATAACTAACTGGTTTCATCCCCATCGGGTCTACTTTCTAATCAATTTATAATTTCTGAAACATATTGGACTTCCTGAGTCCACAGATGTAAAAGCCATCAAGTTAAATCGCGTAGATCGACATCGTATCTAGATGTTGTAAATAACACACTTAACAGTTTAAAACATGAATGAATTAGTTAAACTTTTTTATAATAAATTTTACGGCCTGGCATTTCGGATGCTGATGGATGGAGACCCGGTCTCCTCGTAACGCGACGTGGTTAAAGGAACTAACAACACAGGCGGAAATTCACGATCCACAGCGTACCGTGGAGAATACGTGCCGTGTTAGTTATTTATAGTAATATATAAAGCTGAAGAGTTTGTTTGAACGCGCTAATCGCAGGAACTATTTTTAAATATTTTTTGCATAGTTAGAACATTTATTAAGGAAGGCTGTAAAATATATCGCCGTGACTAATAAAAGAAAGAACAACGGGAAATGTTGAAAAAAACAGGGAAAATTATTCTTTTGAGTTTCCATTGTGCTGCAAACGATTCAAGATACCCAAAGAATATGTAAAAAATAATGATTTCTTTTTAAACGATCTAAAGAAAAGTTCAGGACAGTATATGCCTATCTTGTAAGATTACCTCGCAAGAACGACTGACGACGTCGTGGCTTACAGCTTAAATTCATAGATTTGAGCAGGAGGTTTGCAAAACCATATATTGATGTCCAAAATTACTATCTTACGTACGAAGTCGATGCTTCAGCTAGTTTAAAACGACCTTTTAATTCATCTTATTTTAAATACTATGAAACAATTAAATTTGTCAACTACTTCGTTCTTACGGTAGAACGGTGGATCAATTCAAATTACTATGTTTTCCTAATCTAAACCAATATATGAAGCTGAAAAGTTTGAACGGCTAATTTAAGGAACTACGGTTTCGAATTGATGTCTTTTTGTTTTGGTTAGAGCATTTATCGAAGAAGGCTATATATAAGCTATAAAACATCGTCTTGTGACTAATAGGAGCCAAGATACAGCGGGAAATGTGACAAAAATTGGAAAAAACTATTAATCGTGATGGGTCTCCGAGGCGTACGCTGCAAAAACGGTATAAGATACCCAAAAAATATGTATAAAAGCATTATTCCTCTTTAAATTATCTAAAAAAAGTCCACGACGCTATACGTCTATCTTTTAAGATTATCCCGCAAGAACGACGGGAAGGGACGCGACCGACGTCGTATAAAATAACTACTCCATGCGGACGAAGTCGCTAGCATCACCAGCTAGTGTTTTTATACTCGTGGTACCAATTACAATTGGTGGTTCATCATTAGTTTTAAGCGTTTATTTTCACATTCTGCGAGCGTTGCGTAATTATCTACGTCCAGTAATCTGTGATTAAACCACAATGCGGTCACGTAATATCCACATGAATTTAATTTACAAGCGAGTCGGAATATTCTACTGTGCAACAAATATAACGCTAATTAGAAGCGATTAGCTAAGAGTTTTAGGGAAATCATTTAAACGGTAAAAAGCGTGACATATGTTAGTTATTTAAGGGGGGGGAAGAAAAAAAAAAAAAAAAAAAAAAAAAAAAAAAAAAAAAAAAAAAAAAAAAAAAAAAAAAAAAAAAAAAAAAAAAAAAAAAAAAAACCCCCCCCCCCCGCCCTCTGGGTTCCGCCCCCCCGGCCCCGGGCACAACCCCCAAAACCCGGGCCCGGGGGGAAAAAAAAATTTTAAAAAAAATTTAACAAATATCTCGCTTATAAAACCGTAAAAATGTTTTATTTAAATGTTAGTTATGTATTTATGACTAGCTGAGTCACGCGACTTCGTACGCGTAGAATAATTATTTTGGATATTGATTTTTGTTTTTGTAAACTCCCTGTTTAACTCTATAACTTTTAGCTGTTACCTACGATGTCGTCCGCGTTCCGTCGTTCTTGCAAGTTAATCTTAAAAGATAAACATATAATGTCGCGCACCTTTTTTAGATCATTCAAAGAGGAATAATTCTCTCATACATATATTTTTGGGTATCTTAAACTGTTTTCACAGCGTACGCAATGGTACAACGATGAATTATTTTCTCCGTTTTTTCGACATTTCTCGCTCTTTCCTCCCTCCTATTAGTCACAGAGCCATGTTTTATAGCCTTCCACAATAAATGCTACTACTAACACAAAAATAATTTTTGAATTCGAACCGGTAGTTTCTGAGATTAGCACGTTCAAACAAACAAAGGATTTCTTCAACTAAAGCATATTAGTATAGATAGACCACGGCTGCTGCAAAGCATCCAAAACGTCGGGCCGTAGTTAAAATGTAATTTAAATAAGTTATCTAGTACATATCGCGCTTTAAACCGTTAGGATTGTTATGTGAATCGGAAAGTTATAAATTGATTAGACAAATATATATGGACATACACTATAAGTACACAATAATAAAATATTAAAACTGTGTTTTTTAAATAAAACACTTTAACGGTTTAATACGCGATATATTAGTTAAACTTATTGAAAATGATTTTTAACTTTGGGCCGGCGGTTCGGATGCTTTGCAGCAGCCGTGGTTACGTTCAGAACCGAAAGATTCAAATAAGTTTAACTAATATATCGCGTTTTAAACCGTTAAAATGTTTTATTTAGATGTGTACTACTCGCGTAAACTATAGACAGTATTTAATTAACTGTGTTTTTTTTTAAGGAGCTCCAGCGATTTTTATCACAGTGTGGGTGATAGCAAGATGCTTCGTAAACGTCGTTCCATCTACTGGACCGGACGGGGTAAGGTTTACTACTTGAGATTGTTTTTCATAGAAATAACATATATCAGAATAAAGTGACGGAAACAGTGGATCCAAGTTCAATCCCCACCAAGTACATCATGTTTCTAATGAATTACTTTTCTGAAAAATATTGGTCTTCGTCAGCATATCTGGATATCAGATGGGCGGTTGGAACACAGAAATTCAGTCCCCGTCACAAGGCACCTTCCACGGATGGAAAAGCCGTGAAGATTAATTACGTGTCGGTTTCAATCTGTGGATTGTAGATTTTCAAATGAACACTGTACTTGTCTGTCAACTTTTATAATATAAGAAAGCTCGTAAAAAAGGTTACGTACTTTACAATCTATACTAATATATAAAGCTGAAGAGTTTGTTTGAACGCGCTAATCTCAGGAACTAAGGGTTCGAATTGAAAAATTCATTTTGTGTTGATTAGAGCATTTATCGAGGAAGGCTATAGGGTAAAATAGGGTCGCCCTGTGATTAATACACACGAAGATACAGCGAGAAATGTGAAAAAAAAATTGGGTAAATTCATCATTATGGGTTCCGAGACGTACGCTGCAAAAACAGCTCAAGATACCAAAAAAATATTTACGAAAGAATGATCTCTTTTTAAAAGATGTAAAAAACGTCCGGGACGCTATATATCTATCTTTTAAAATTAACTTGCAAGAACGACACGAAGGGACGCGGCCGACGTCGTGGGTAACGATGACGGGGTTTGCTAAAACTAATTTGGATTGCCAAAATAACTATATTACGCGGACGAAGTGACGCTGACATAGCTAGTAATAGAAAATGGCGTAACATTTACAATGAATGTATAGCTATGTCTGTTTTACGAGGCTTGTTTTCGTGAAACAGGAAAATAAACAAACATTTCTTTAACATCCTATTCAGGTCAGTGTACAAACAAATTGTATCTTATAGGAATTGTTGTTGTCATTATAATTCATTCAAGTAGTCTACGATCACTAGTGTAGTCTTTTTAGTATTTAAAACTCCTTAACATTCACTAAGCAAGCTAACTACGTTTATATACTATCAGATTTACGGTCTTCTAGCTCTCATTAATTCCAAGTTCAAACATTAAATTTGATTAAATACTGTCTATAGTTTACGCGGGTAGTACACATTTAAATAAAACACTTTAACGGTTTAAAACGCGATATATTCGTTAGACTTATTTAAAAATGATTTTTAACTTCGGCCAGACGTTTCGGATACTTTCGCGTTTTAAACGGTTAAAGTGTTTTATTTAAATTAAATTTGATGTTATATAGTTGGGGTATTTCACCTTCCATCAAGTGAACTAAGAGAAGAAGAAGGCGTCTGTCTTCTTCTATAATTAAAAACTGCGTTTCTTCTTCTTCTAACGGACATTATTTAATAAATAACTCTTGCACAAAACCCAATTTTATATACCACGCAAGAGTGCTTTTACGCACGCATATTCTATTCTATAACCAAAGTTGACCTCGTAAAATTTCACATAATATGTACTCTCTTTAATTAAAGTATGTACCTAAACACTTTTAAGACAAAACTACCTAGTTTTATCGTAAAATAGTAATTAGGCAAATATACAATAGTTTGGCACCTGCCTACCTTTAGTAATTCATGCTTAAATTTTCATGTTAAGTTCAATGTTAACAAATCGACGATTTTTTTCCCCATTTGCTTACGAAATTGTCAATTGATGTAATAACCGAATAAAGATGTCTTCTAAACTCAAAGAAGCAATGTTATTACAGTAATTTTGCATTTTACGAATGTTACAGTAATATTAGAATAACTTGTTAAGCACGACACGACCGCAATGGAAATAAAGTTTACCAATTTTCACCGGTCTCGGTATGAAATTACATCCATTTATTTCGCTAAGGAAAGAACAAAATCTTCACGATCGCCCGGCACGTTTTAGCCTAAGCGAGTTTTTACTAGAAATTTTGTACAAAGTTTACAAATTAGAAGAGCTCTTTGACAATCTAGTATTGTTTCGAGGGTGGGTTTTATTAAGTCCAAAAAATCGTTTTGAGCCTATGGGTAAACGCGAGAGATGCTTTGCCACTTCAAATTATGGTTTTGGTAGGACATCACCACAACGTGATTCGTAAATATGTAAATACATTATTATTTATACAGACTTTTATACTCTTGCTTGATAATATACTAGATGAACCCGCGACTTCGTAAAATAGTTATTGCAGGCATCAAAATTTGTTTTTGCAATCGCTCTAAGCTATAGCTATTACCCAGGATGTTGTCGCGTCTTGTCGTTACTGCAAATTAATCTTATAAGATAAGATAGACATACACAGTCTTGGATATTTTTTACGTCGTTTAATGGGGAATCATTCTTTTATACATAATTGTTTGGTATCTTGTCTGTTCTCCGTGAATATTTTTCACCGTTTATCCAGGTTTCCCACTGTTTCTTTGCTTCTATTGGTCGCAGCCTGATGTCATTTAGCCAAAAGCCTTCCTCGATAAATGCTTTAACAAAGACAAAAATATTTTTTCCATTTAAACTAGTTTCTGACATTAGCGCGTTAAAAAAAACAACCAAATAAACTGTTCAGCTTCATGCTATTAGTATATAGCATTTTTAGCATGCATAATATCGATTCTTTGTAAACACAAAAGCATACAAAATAAATCAAACTCGCTAACTGCACCATATTTCACGTCAGAAATATATGCAAACGATATGAACAATACAACATCGGAATGAATGACGAAACATTCTATTAAAAATTCGCATCGTTTTAACAAAACATTTTTCCAGTCTAAACTTTGAGTTTAACTTGTTTCACACATTTTTTTCTATTACGAACTCGTTGCGTTTGCTTTTTAATTGGAAAAACATTGTTACAGTTGTCCTTGGCGAGTGACGCGAAAATGTGCACATGGATTCATGAACACCAAGTTGACTGGATACACAAGGCACCAGCGCTCGTTGGGCTGGCTCTTAATCTATTTTTTTTAATTAGGATTATGTGGGTGAGTTCTTAATCCACAGATTATAATCAAAGCTACGATTGATAAACTTCGACGGACTCGTTGGTAGCTAATGGTGGCAATGTATGGCTATGACTAATGTATTTATCAACGTGTCGTGGATTCCATCCCCGCCAGGTCCCAACATGTTTCTAATTTTAAAATTTATAATATTTCTGAAACATGTTAGACTTTATCTGGATATCTGGATATTAAATAACAAATTCCGTCCGGGTCACGAACCACCATCCACCATCATAACAGATGAAAAAGCCGTGACGCTTAATCGCGTTTCGGTGTCAGTCTGGATTTCCGAATATCGAAAGCCAAAATAGGTCGACAACACATTTTGTTTATGCTATAGGCTGGGGTATATAATTGGAGTATATTGTCTATTTCTTATTAAGCAAACTTTAACCGTCTCTGTAACTAAATGGTTAAATGTGTTGCGTTAAGTGCTAGAGTTCCTGGGTTCAAATCTCGGGGAAACAATAAATCAACTGTGTAATCCTATAAAGGCCTGTAAATAAAACTGATCAACCACGGACTACGGCACATTTCGGCTGTTTCAAAGCATCAGAAACATCTGACATTAGTTAAATCATTTTCGAATAAGTTTATCTAATATATATCGCGTTTTAAAGCGTTAAAGTTTTTAATGTGTACTACTTGCGTAAACTACAGATAGTATTTAAAACCGATCAATGAAACGGACACAGAAATTTCTCTATTTAATATACCTCAATGCGGAAGTAAGGATAACTGTCTGCTTGTTACGTGTAATTTTAACGGATTGAAATATGTAGTTTTAAAAAACGCTTTTAATAAAGTTGAACGTACGTTTCATTGATTAATTTAATCTATATCTCACGGGTGTGTATCCTAAAACAAGAAAAATCCACATACAGGTCCTAATTTTTATGTCTGTTATCCAGGTACTCATTACAAAATTGCGATCGGCGAACACGCTTGAAACTGAACAATACAGAAAAGCGACGAAGGCGCTGCTTGTTCTTATCCCACTGCTGGGCATAACGAACCTACTTGTGCTGTGCGGCCCCAGCGATGACTCGTGGTTCGCGTATACCTTCGATTATACCAGGGCACTAATGCTTTCCACACAGGTAAGTTTATATAAAAGAACTATGACTTGTCAATTATCATTGTAAAAATATCGGTTCCGAGAATTGCATGTCAATCGGTTGAGGAAATGTTACGATGACGTGTTGAACACGGTAGTCCAGATTTTCAATTCATATGAGTTCATCTAGATAAATTTAGAACAAGTGGGGTAGATTATTATACGAGGGGCAGATTCATACACCAGAAATATCTTACTTTAAAAGGCCTCAATTGAAGGATGTGTGCCTGCTTTTTAACAACAGTAAATGTTAATACGGGAATAGCACTTAGGGAAATGTTATATATTTAAAAACGGGTTTACAAAAAATATAATTTTAATAAAAAACCCTAAAACGGTTTAAAATGCGATATATATTAGTTAAAGTTAAGTTTAGTCGGGCCGTAGTTAAAATCATTTTCAAACAAGTTTATGTTATATATATCGCGTTTAAAAACCGTTAAAGTGTTTTATTGAAATGTGTACTACTCGAGTAAACTACATACAGTATTTAAAAATATCTTTGAGGCAATTATTTCTGCAAGCTAATACTCTTTCTATCTTTGCGAATTCATCCATTACATTGTTCGAAAACAAAATTTACGGAAATTAATAAAATAAATAATTAATTTCAACGCAACACAGAACGCAAAAGACGCAATCACTCCATTGAAATCATTTTACAAATCCACGATCAAACGGAAATTAATTCTATATAAACATCGTAATATCTACAATTCGTACTCAGCGTATTAGCTTAATGCTGACGTATAATTAAGCCGTTAAAATTATGTTTATGACGTTCAAAACGCTTTCAACACAAATAGGCCTCTGTCGCTGACGGATTGATGGATAAATTAGACAAGGGATCTTATTCAATGTGTATTACCATTATAATTGCTGTCTTTTACATAACTTACCCTTGGATTAATTCGAATGAGTTTAAGACGAGTGGGTATTGAAATTACAATATACGTAATCATTTATTCATACAACTTTATAGTTTTATGTTCTTAATAAAGAAAATATATATTTTCATCTGCTTTTATTTAGTTTGCTTGATGTTTAATTTTATTATAGAGAATATAAAACATAGAGAGAGAAAATAATAGATAAAAAAGAAGATAGAGTAAAATCGTTGCCACAGATGACAAAGGGTTAAATAAATGTCAATTATAATATTTATAATTAATATACAAAATAACTTTTATGATGGCTTATTTTTTTTATTTGTAATGTCATTATTTAACTCGACGTTTATAACGCTTATCAGCGATCGTGCATGGGTAAAACTCTATCTTCTATTGTCGTTGACTTTGGTTACATCCCATCCTTATGTCAATGTTTGACATTAACTGACTAAAGAAATTTTAATCTGTGCATTTGCGTAAATTAATTTTTATGATTGTTATTAATTTTATCATGAAATTCTGGTTTTCACTAAGTCATTTGGAGGTAGTTATTTAGTTTAATATATAATAATCCATTGTCTCAAAGTGATTTTAATGTGAATCAATATAAACCTTGTGAGAAAATCACGATTTCAAGTAAAAATGTTTGTTTACCAAAAATGTCAACACAGTGCGAAGTTTCTTTACAAAAATTATTTTAGAAGCCATCTCTAATTTCTAGAGACCTAAATAAAACTTGAAACTCCAGATTAACCTTACTTACCGCGACTTCTCGACTTTTAATCCGTCTTAAGGCAGAACTAATTACCGAGGTGGAAAGATTAACTCTGGCTTTGCCAAGCGTCTTTATAACAAGAATAATAAAGTATACAAAACAATATCTGCCATATATAATCTTCTAATGGACTTAAGAGTTCACGAATTGTGGCTTTTGCACCAACATTCTTCGTATTAAAAACATTATCTATGTTCTGTTTGTTATCAAAAACAATTTTTTTAGCGCCCTTGAAGTTGAATAAAACACTTTTAACGGTTTAAACGCGATATTTATTAATTATTAGTAAAACTATTTGCCAAATAAGTTTGCCTACTATATATATTTATAAATATAAAATGTACTACTATATATGTATATATAAATAATTAATAAACGTCGGGTAGTGTTAAAATAATTTCGCGAAGAGGGAGCGTTCAAGACGGTCCCTGGTCTGAGGGGATGTTCAAGACGGTCCCTAATGCTACGCTAGTGCCACCAGTTTCGTCGTAAGTGTTATTGAAATATAGAAATGAAATTTTATAACAAATGATATAACAAATTCTGACTCTCGTCTCGCACCTAATTATTCAATAGAGTCAAATGCATTCTTTAGTAAATCCGATTAAAAAGTCTAGAATAGCCGTGGAAATTCTAGTCGGGAAAAACTTTATAATTCAACGTCAGTTTAATCGAATCTCGTCTTGATCGAGTTACGCCAGCGCGGAAGAGCAGTGTCGGTTTCCTAAACCTAATATTAAATGTTCCTAGTGAAAGACTGGTACATATTGCATTAAATTTTTAATAAAAACTAACCGTATAATAAACTAAGGATTTTTATATGGCACATGATGGCATTATATTGGTATAACAAATTTAACCAACACGAGTATGGCACGGAACTAAACGCTATGGACGTCGGTTCATGCCCCGCTTTGTATTTTTTTTTTTAATAAATAGAATTAATAACCAAAATAAACTAAAAAAGATAATAATAAATTTACTTCGTACAAAAAAAATTTTTGAAATCTACGATCTAAATAGGACAAATTGGAAACATTGCTTTCCAACAAAACAAGAATATCAATCGTTCAGAATAAATTAAATTATATATGACATTTAATAACTTGGAAAGGTGCTGAGGAGCCCGAGGTAGAGGTTTGAAATTAAAACGTAATAACTTAAGTCAGAAGGGCCAGATATTTGATTAAATACTGTCTATAGTTTACGCGAGTAGTACTAACTTAAATAAAACACTTTAACGGTTTAAAACGCGATATATTAGTTAAACTTATTTGAAAATGATTTTTAACTTCGGCCCGACGTTTCGGATGCTTTTGAAAGGCTTTCGGGCCGAAGTTAAAAATCTTTCAAATAAGTTTAACTAATATATCGCGTTTTAAACCGTTAAAGTGTTTTATTTAAACAGATATTTGATTATTAAATTTATTAGCGAGGTAGAAAAAAGAAACTTTGCGTTTGTGCGGTATTTATATTTAAAATACCTTTTTTAGTAATTCTGTATCTGTTATATTATTTATATCTAATGGACTTCTAAGTTATTTTATTCACTTAAAAAAGCACTCAACAAAGAGCTCTAACTAAGCTACCAATATGCGTCGATTAGAAGAGAATCGATTAGCGAACGAGAATGACATTGACTTTTTTTAAGCTTAAAATTGACAGTACCATGTGAAATTTTTTTGGGGGGGGGAAGAGGGGGCGGATGGTTGCGCAGAACGGTGGTTGCAAATGGTGTGCGGTCCGGGTTTTTGCTTAAAATTGTCAGTACCGTGCGAAAAATGGGCTACTTCAGCCTGGCCAAAAAGTTTGGAGAGAACTGTACATAGCCCACACTAATCATTATCTGTCAAACGAGTGATGTACTTTTTGTTGATATATATTATTTATTCGATTTTTCCAAATTACTATCGATGTAAAACACGTGTAATATTTAAAGTGTATTGTTAAGTCGATATGATTACTTGTACAAACAATTACGAAATATTCTGGTTTATACTTTTTTTATTACATACAAATATGTTATTTTGTCAACAGGGTTTCACAGTAGCACTATTTTACTGCTTCATGAATACTGAGGTGCGTCATGCTATAAGATACCACGTGGAGAGGTGGAAGACTGGCCGGGCGATACGAGGGGGGCGGAGAAGAGGTGCGTCCTATTCTAAGGACTGGTCACCTAGATCTAGGACAGAGAGCATTCGGTAAGATAATCAGCACAGACTAAAAATAGCACAGATTAAAAATCTTAAGCCTAGTAACAAATATTAAAAAAATGTATAATTTCAAAATTATCAAAAGAATATTGACAGGTCACAAAATATGTAATGACAGTAGACAGAGATTAGACAAAGGAAATTTCATCCTGGTCGGGAATAAAAAATTAACTTTTAACATAACATTGATTTATATTCGCAGTTCAAATAAACATAAGTCTATTATGGCCTAAAGAAGGCATCAAACAAACATATCACGTTATCCCACTTTTTGAGTTAATGCGTTGTTTTATTGCTTTGCAGACTATAAGCGCTGTTATTGTTCTAATTTAGTTTTCGGACACGAAACTAGTTTTGAAAGTCATCTTTACTTTAGCATCACACAGTTCCATTGTTTATTAAAATCCATCGCATGTTTGCTATGCATGAGTGGATTATGCACTGCTTTTATTTTTATTTACCTAGACTGAAGTGCTGGTTCATGGGCGATGTGACTCCTACATACTACCAAAGTCTTTTCACAAAATTTCGCTTTAAGACGTACAGAAGGAGATCGTTTTAAAATCTATTTAGGCTGAAATAACGACACGGGCGGTACTTTATGCGGCATTCACCAATTGAGTTACCGTGACCTAGGTAGCTCAATTGGTGTATGCCAATTCAAGTATTTTTTTATAATAGAATTTTTTGCTTTATATAATGTGCAATAACAGGTGAACTTTATAAACGTTTTCAATTCGTTACTTTGAAGTCATATATCAGACAGTTGATACAATGGGATATGTGCCCCGGTTTTAAATTAGTTAATCCTCTCCTCCATTTTGATTTTGCCATTGGGTGTATAATGATTAATTTTTATCACCTACTAATTTATGTTTGATCATTCATTTTCTTCCACTAGGCTCACCGTATGAACGTGGCTTGGATGTGGAAAAACTTGCATTTACGAAGATGATGAGATTTTGTTATATTTGATATTTTAATAAATTGAATGTTACGCTTGTGTATGTTTTCTTTTATTCTCGCCCACGCCTTCAATGCACGTTTCATTTATGCATGAGTGTACTGGAATTGTAATTTAAAACGTAGAGTGCTTCTATACCTCTGAGCAGACTTAAAGAATTGCTACGTAGTGCATTTCAAGAAATATACGAACGTAAAACTGTTCAGTTTAAAAAAAAATACGACACGGGCAGGACTGACACGGTGGTTCAATTGGTAAGAGCACGGACGTTATGAGCACCAATTCAAGCCCGGCCTGTGTCGACAATTTATTTCAATATAAATATTTTAATTTTTTATTTATATAATGCCATCATCTACAACAAACATGTAAACAATTTTAATTTTTTGATTGTAACGACAAAACGACTCTTTGAAAAACACAATAACATGGATTTATCCTAAAGTTAGTATTCAATTACAGAAAAAAATCAATACTAAGTAAATGTATAATAAATAGAATAATTTTTCATCAACACGATGGGAAACCAAAAAAAACTGGTTAATCCTATTTTTTTTTTGAAAACCGTGTAATAAACACTATATTACAAATGAACAAAGTACAGATTAAAAACAATTTAATTCTATATTTTATAGCAAGAAGATTTTCCAGTGTCATGTTAAGAAAAAAATAATTAGTAGGTAAACTATATTAAAAATGAAATCCTCTTATCCCCATGGCACATGAGGCGAATATATTTTTGTGTCTGATCCACTGATTAGTTCTTTTACAGACTTTTGTGCCCTACTCGACGGAAATTTATAGTTTTTCCGGGATTAGAACCCCGGACCTCTTGCGCTTGACACAATGCGAAGGAACACGTTTAACCATTTGGCTACAGAGGTGGTTAAACTATATAAGGATATTTATACTTGTCAACTGTCAAAAACCACTATGTCACCTTAATGAAAAATAGTTGATTTCTAATATTGTCAGATATATATTTTAACAAAACATTTTGTTACATAGTCTAACAAGTAAAATGTGGGACAGATTATATAGCCAGCCATCGAAACGGGAGTCTGCTGCATCGGAGACGACTACAACAACTTTATTAGTGCCACGGACCTCTCTAGCACCTCACTATGATAGCCGACATTTACACGCGGTAAGTATCAAAGGACTAGGCTGTGTCGGCGACTTCTTTCGCGTAGAATAGATATTTTGGGAATCAAAATTTCTTTTTGCAAATCTCGTCCGCGTCCTGTCCGTTTTATTCTTAAAGGTAGACTATAATGTCTCGGATATTTTTTTATCTTTTAAAAAGGAATCATTCTTTCATACATATTTTTTGATATATGATTTAATCATATGGTATCTTGTATCTTGAATCGTGTTCATGCACACAAATGAAACCCTTAAAGATGGCTTTTCTGCCACATTGCGCACTGTATCTTCGCTCCTATTGATCGCATCGTGATGTTTTAATAGCCTAAGCCTTGCTCGATAAATGTTCGAAACTAACCAATACAAAAAGATTTTAATTCGAACCAATAATTACCGAGATCAGGGCGTCAAACAAACAAGCAAATAAACTCTTCAGCTTTATATATTTGTATAGATTAATATTCACAATTGTTAAAATTGCTTATATTACACGAAAGCAAAATGTTTATTTTCAAATACTTATAGGAGCGTGAAAGAAAATCTATTTTTTTAACTATGTCAGGAATATCATCAATAATACAAAGTTGAGACGAGTTGATTATGACAAACGACATGTCATATGTCACTGTCAATGCGCGAAAAATGGCATTTGATTAATTAAAGTAATTAACAAAACTATCATGTTAATAATCTGGTACATGTTCTCCGGTGGAGGGAAACATAAAAAACGGCGTTCTAATAGAAATTTGCCTGAACAACGGGTCGCAGGTTCGACCCCCATCGGGTACAACTTGTTTCGGATTCAATTTGTAATGTTTCGGTAACATGTTGGACCACGTCTGAAAATCTGTATTTAAAATGGGTGATAGGAATATCGAAGTTCCCTCCATTTCACAAACCACCGTCTATGAAAAAATGTTGCGGTCTATGGATTTCCGAATCCAAAGCCAAAATTGTTAGATTTTGCTTTATTAGGTTAGGTAGGTAAGGTTTTCTAACCTTCCATCAAATGAATCGCATCCTAATTTGTAATAAAAACCAACACGCATTAATCTTTATTTTATTAAAAACGAATGTGGGTATTTAATTAAGACACTTTTAACGGTTTAAAATACTAAATGTAATTACAATTTACTTCACTACGTCCCAACGTTTCGGATGCTCGTTTTCGCATGCTAAAGCATACATTTGCACTGCGCAGGATTACATAACAAGCGGGAGCGGTGAACAGTCGCCCGTTTGAGGAGGTGGGCGGGAGAGGCTACCGCGTCTACGCACTCTGCCCGAAGAGGACGCCCCTCCCGCCTTCGACACACACACACCAAACACCGAAACATCCATACACGACAAACCGTCCCTCAACGGCTGTATCGAATTACCATCCGTCGAAGTATCTATTCCACACGAAAATGATCTCAGGCTACTAGATCGATGTCATAATGGCTTATATGTGTTGCCTTTAGATCAATAAGGTCGATAATCGGTAGTTAATTTTAAACGTTTGTATGTATACTTAGTTAACCATTGTACAGTGTAACTATTGTTATTTTAACTAAATGTAACATGTAGGATAAGAGAACCTCCTTTGTTTTGCTTTTTCAGCAGCTGAACTGAAGATGTTAAATGCTATTATATGTATATATAATATAATATAATTATATATTGTTTTATTATAAGACATAATTATGATATAATACATTGTAAATAATGGATATGATATATTTCGAACACACAATAACTCATACCCGCTCGGTCATCCGGGTCAACTACTCGTTGACTGTGCGCCGACAGCACAATGTACCAGTCAATTACTAGTTGACTACGCGCCGCCGCGCTAAATGTAGGGTCAATCTGTGGGTGACGTGGCCCCCGCACTCAAATAAGTCGAATAAATTTCCCGCCATATCCATCCCAGTATCCAAACCATAGAAAAAAGTTATGTAACAATAAAATAACGGTCCTCTGTCAGTGGTGAGTGTTGTGATTTTTGTTTGATTGAATTTATGTGATTAAAGCGTAACAAGTGTGCAAGTGTGATACCTTATTGGAATGGTCATTAAATGTACTATAGGGTATGCAAATTGTAATTTTTATATATTTCAATAAAACACTTTAACGGTTTAAAACGCGATATATTAGTTATACGCAGTTATATGCAGCAGCCGTGGTCACGGCTGCTGCAAAGCATCCGAAACGTCGGGCCGAAGTTAAAGATCATTTTCAAATAAGTTTAACTAATATATCGCGTTTTAAACCGTTAAAGTGTTTTATTTAAATGTGTACTACTCGCGTAAACTATAGACAGTATTTTTATATATTGTTTAGTTTGTAGAACAATAAAATCAGAAAAATACAACACGGCTTTATCTCTGGCGCTATCCCAAGTTTAGCACGCCATAACTCTGGTCCAGAGTCCTAATCTAAAGTTCTAATGATAACATTGTATATATCGTTTAATAGTGATTACTATTAAAAAATTTTACATTTGACAATCTTTCAAAACAAACTTGGGTCACAAGGACCGATAGCGTAAAGCCACTGTTTTGGGACAAACAGTGGGGACAAACGGGTGGCCTAGTTTTTGTCGCTGAGCGTTTGAACCTACCAAGGTCAAAGAGCCGGGACATAGGCGTGGTCCGATTTTTTAGCCGCGGACGACCGTGGCGATACACAAATTCCATTCAATTTCTGTATGAGTTTTACATGGATGTATGAATTGATATAATATGGATGTTTGTTATATCATGTCAAAAGTTATAAGGAATAATGTGAATTGTATTGTAATAAAATTTGACGTTTTGCCACAAATTATGAACGGAAATTATTATATTTTGTAAATGTGACTACTGTATAAGTAAATAACAATTTAATATTCAACTATATACGGGTACAAATATATAAATAATAATTTATTTACACGTGTATGCATATAAAATCCTAATGTTACCTTATATTAAAATTTATATTCTATAGATTGACTTATAGTGTTGCCAATGTTTTCTATTTGTTAGTTAATAAGTGAAATTGAAATGGGAAACAAAACGCTATATGTATTAAATTTGCAAATATAATTATAAGTAATTGTAAAGATATGTGTAGAGTACCTTTGAGTGAGGTTATAATTTTAAAAATTGCTTTGTATTTAGGTTTTGTATAGTACTAATATAGTATCGGATCGCCACCGTATCTCATTGGTTAAATGCTGACTAGCATTAATGCACCTGAGGTCCCGGGTTTATATCCCGGGGAAACAGTAGCTTTGATCGGCCCGGGCACCTTTATAATCAACTACTTATGTAAATGCAATCGATCATTTAACTTATCGATTGCATTTACATCGACAATTTAACTAAATTACTAAATGTAAGACATTATAAGCGTTTTTTTTTTATGTGACGTTACATGTAACTTACCAAACCATTACTGCATCAACGCTATTAGTTATTATATATTAGTAATAATATATTTTATAAAGTTAACTATTCTTTTAACAAATTTATTTTCAAAAGACCATTAATTTTTGTGACGTACGAAATATACCAACAATATACAAAGTATTAATATAACTTTTGAACAGTTTAAGATGCTATGGTGCAAGATTTAACTACGTATTGAAAAAAAATTAACAACAGTTAATTGCGTTTTAAACCGTTTAAAATTTTTTATCACTACTCGCGTTATATAACGCGATATATATAAAAGAGTCACATTCCTAATATTATATGATCCTTCTGTATATGTTCCCCATTACGTGATTTTAATATTTGCCATAAACCTAGGTAAGTAACTACTTCAATGTGGTTT